TTGTTGTTGTTGTTTGTTGCTAGGGTGTTGTTGTTGTTGTTGTTGTTGTTTGTTGGTAGGGTGTTGTTGTTGTTGTTGTTTGTTGCTAGCGTGTTGTTGTTGTTGTTGTTTGTTGCTAGGGTGTTGTTGTTGTTTGTTGCTAGGGTGTTGTTGTTGTTGTTGTTTGTTGCTAAGGTGTTGTTGTTGTTGTTTGTTTCTAGGGTGTTGTTGTTGTTGTTTGTTGCTAGGGTGTTGTTGTTGTTGTTTGTTGCTAGGGTGTTGTTGTTGTTGTTTGTTGCTAGGGTGTTGTTGTTGTTGTTGTTGTTGTTGTTGTTTGTTGCTAGGGTGTTGTTGTTGTTTGTTGCTAGCGTGTTGTTGTTGTTGTTGTTGTTTGTTGCTAGGGTGTTGTTGTTGTTGTTTGTTTCTAGGGTGTTGTTGTTGTTGTTTGTTGCTAGGGTAGGCAACGGAGCCGGTCGGCCGAGCGGACAGCACGCTGGTCACGTGATCCTGTGGTTCCGGGTTCGATCCCGGCCGCTGACAAGAAACGAAGCGCAGAGTTTCTTTCACCCTATGCCACTGTTACCTAGCAGTAAATAGGTACCTGGGTGTTAGTCAGCTGTCACGGGCTGCTTCCTGGGGGTGGAGGCCTGGTCGAGGACCGGGCCGCGGGGACATTAAAGCCCAGAAATCAACTCAAGATAGATAGATTGATAGATAGACAGATAGATAGATAGATAGATAGATAGATAGATAGATAGATAGATAGATAGATAGATAGATAGATAGATAGATAGATAGATAGATAGATAGATAGGATGTCGATGTAGTTGCTTGCTGATAGTACTCACCTAGTTGTTCTCACCTAGCTGTGCTTTCGGGGGTTGAGCTCTGGGTCTTTGGTCGCGGCTCTGAACTGTCAATCAAGAGGTGTACAGATTCCCTCAACATCAACCACTAGTGTGATGGTGGGGTGGCCTCAGGGTCGGCCCGATTTGTCATACTTTGACCCGGAATTGGATCAGTTGGTGGTAACCCCCTGGTCCATGTGTGATCCCCAAGTAGCCCTTCACGGGGCTCACTTAGTGATGTTCAGGGGACCTTAGGGCTTTCCCCTCTGGTTCGGGCTCCAAAGCATCTGAGTTTTCGAAGTCAGGGTTGGCGTTTCCTGTGTTATGTTTTTCTTGCTGATGTCTGTATTGTCTCGCTCAACCTTACAGGTGAACTGTTCTTGGTGTGAGGGATATCGTATCTTAAGCTCTCTGCGCCTCTACACAGGGTCCAGATTTTGGCCTCTGTTCCCCGGTAGGCTTACAGTGGCTCACATAGGCCTGCAGTAGTTCCAATTGGGTGGATCTATCAAGGTTGCTAGCAACAGGGAGCGTCCAAGGACCCTCCACAAGGAGGCATTTCATTACATTGAGCACTGTTTTTGTTATTTTTATAATATCTCTCTGCGGTTTTTGCTGCAATATATATATACAATGATTTATCACCGAATTATGCAGAACAATGACCTTTAGAACCCAGATCAACATGGATTTACAGTAGGAAGATCAAGCCCTTCTTAACCACAATGACAAAATCACTGAAGAATGAAAAGAAAAACAAAATGCGGATGTGGAATACACAGATTTTGCAAATCATTTGATAAGTATGACCATGAAGAGAGATAACACATAAGATGAGACCAACAGGAATAACAGGTGAAGTAGTGTGATAGACATTCAATTTCATGTCACTCAGACCACAAAGAGTAACAGACCAAATATAGTCCAGGCAAAGTGAAAAGTTTTGTACCTCAGGACACAGTCCTCGCACCACGGATTTTTCTTATTCATGTATCAGATACAGACAAAAATACGAATCATAGCTTCGTGTCATCTTTTTGCAGATGAAACAAAAGTCTGTATTTATATTACTTCTGAAGAAGATGGTGAAAACTACAAACTGATACTAAAGTTTTCTACTGGGCAGCAGAAAATAGCATGATGTTTAACAGTGATAAATTTCAGGTACTTAGGTATGGAAAAATGAAGACCTTAAAGGAATTACACGGTACAAGACACAATAGGATCTACCCACAGTAGGAAAGCAACATGTAAAGGCTCTGGGAATAATGATGTCTGGCGACCTAACGTTTAGGGAGCATAACCAAGGAAATAGAGCATCAGCTAGAAAAATGATAGGATGGATTACGAGGATCTTCACATCCAGACCTTTCAATTGTGAACCAACAATGCCGGCAACCACAAGGGTTAAGTAGAATCATTAATACTTTGATTATTAAACAAAATTATCTCCTCCAATCACATTGAAAACTAATGACAATACCATTAAATTAATGGCTTTCTGTGATAAGCCAGCTGCTGGGTCGGTACTCTGCAGGAGCATAGCTTCACTGATACCCCTCAGCTGGATCCCTTTGATAAGGAACTTGATGAAATGCTATTTGAAAATCTAGATGGAGCCCTTTATCTGTTAAAAAAGTGGCATTGGTTATAGAAAAGGCATGTTTTCAAAATATATAAATATATATTTTATTTGTTGGAAGAGGGTGGGCATTGAGCAATATATCAGATTATCTCTCCAATCGTCATTAATAAACACCTTTTAATAATAACTGCATGCTTGAAAACAGCTCACACTTCTCTTGTTCAGAAGACATTTCCTTCCACTTCTTCGATCAAGAAATGAGATAGAAAATTTTAAATAAGTCCAATTAGTGAAGTTTCAGGTGGCCTTGGGCAGCATGTCCCTACAGTAGCAGTACTTCCTGTAGACGGGGTCAGTGGTACAGTGGCTCTGGTTACCATACTGGTTTATCCGCGAGACGTCGCTGACCAGCTCATGCTGTCTTATGTGGTACTTGACTGTTGCTTCAAGTTCAGCCTCGCCTGACACATAGGAAAGAAAGTGAAAACAGCGTTGCAATTAAATTTTCAAAATTTATTATAATGGTATAATGGTGATAGTAAAAACTACTAATTAGATGGTTTAAACTGTAATTGCAACAAGCACAAAGGAAGGATCACTCATCCCACGCATTTCCTCCAGTATACAGACCTATCTAATTTTGCATATACTGACCCTACAATCTTAATTGGGGATTTAAATGCTAAACACAAACATTTAGAAGATCAATTCGTAAATACCAACGGTAGGAGATTGATGGCACTTCTCGATGCATATGATGCTCAAATTATCAGTAAGAATCAGCCAACCTAAATATATGGAGGAGCGCACCTGTCATACACAACTCATGAGACTGATATTATGGATGACTTAATGTCTGACCATTTAGCCTTAACAGCTAACATTCACGTGGCTATTGATGTCCTACCTGGCACTAGGCTGAGTGGACGCTGGCTAACAGTAAGAAAAGAGCAAGAAATTTTTTCATTGACAGTATTGAACATTGGTATAACAATTATGAGCCTGAAAATTTACAACAGTTTTATGATGACCTCGTGAATAAAACCTATGAGGCCATCAAAAATAGGGAGTCACACCAAACAAAAAGATGTACCGGTAAACAGGTCAGACACAACCAGTACTATAATGATGCTAAACTGAAAGAACTTAAATCAATTGCTAGACAGACGGGTAAAGCATATAAGAGCCTTAGAACACCTTCAATGTTTAAACTGTTACAGGCCACGCTTGCAGCGGCAAGGGAGAGAATAGTGAACTGAGACAAAATGAATGGGAGGGTTTTGTTAGTGGACTTAACCTGCATACTCCCCTGGGCAAAGCCTGGAAAGGCATAAACAAAGTTATTGGTAAAAATAATAGACAAGTTTGACATCCAAACCGGCTACAGAAAGTCAATCAGTTAATTACAAAAATGGACTCAGGTCTCCAGCTTTGCAATGCTACCACCTAGCACAAAGGAGAAATTGCAGGCGAAGTCCAAAGACAGAAATGCTCTCATTAACTTCATGTTGAGCAAGCAACTTGATGAATGTGATCCTCCATATACAGATTATGAATTGGATGCAGCGGTCGCCAGGGGCAGTAGCACTGCTCCTGGTGAGGCAAGGTATCGCCTAACATATTCTCAGATTACTACATCGTGTACCCGGTAACCCATTATTAGAATTGTTTAATGCGAGTTATGCCACTGTGCAGCTGCCAGTATCATGGACCACCAGTCTCACGGTTCCTTTACAAAGCCTAAACAACCTGAGTTTTTTCGTCTCATCTCACTGACCAGTTACATGTGTAAAACCTGTGAAAGAATGGTGCTTAATAGATTATTGTATAGAGTTAAAGAGCACATGTCACCCGATATCAATTGTTTCACACAAGGAAAGAGTGTACACAACTGTATCACAACCTTTCTTACTGTTCATGGAGATAAAAGGCACGAGTACACAACATTTCTTGATTTAAAAAATACCTTTGGTATTGCTAATAGGGAAGTGATTATGTATGAATTAGCAAGAATGGAAATAGGTGGACAATTATTACTATTAATACGGGGCTATCTTACCAACCGGAAGTCCTCTGCACTGTTCCAAGGCTACAAGAGTGAAACTAAATTAATGCAAATGGGCACCCCACAAGGAGGAGTGTTCCTTACTCCAGACAACACTACACCGCCACCTCCATACAAGGAGTACCTTGTTTAATGTTCTAATTAATGCCTTACTAAAATCAGTCCCAACTAGTCCGGTAAACATCACTATCAGCTATGCAGATGACATCCTTGTACATACTAAAACCCACCACAAAATGTAAACAATCTTAAATTGCATACATACAGCTTGTGAGAGCCTTGGTTTTATAATCAGCGCTGCTAAACTAAGGTATTTAACAGACAAATTGGTAATCGCAAAAGTGGTACAAGAAAACTAAAGATAGATAACATACCAATAGACTATGTCTCATCTTTCAAATACCTTGGTGTCTCTGTCCCTTGTACCTTACCTGCAGTCAATACTTTATATCAACAGTGTAGAGACAGACTCAAGGCTCTCAGAACTGTAGTGGGGGTACAGCTCTAAATATGGTGGGAATACAGTATTAGAAGAGCAAAAATGTTGTACTTAGCATATATAAGGTCTCTGATAGACTATCATGCAGCAACTTTAGTCCTGCAAAATGGCAAGAGTATTGATAGACTGGAAAAAATGCAAAATGAAGCGCTCAGAATTATTCTTGGCTGTCCTATAACTACTAAAGTTCTCAATTTGTGGATACATGTTGCCTTGAGATGGAGGGGGGGGTGTAGTGTTGCCTGGAGGTGGGGGTGTAGTGTTGCCTGGAGGTGGGGTTGTAGTGTTGCCTGGAGGTGGGGGTGTAGTGTTGCCTGGAGGTGGGGGTGTAGTGTTGCCTGGAGGTGTGTAGTGTTGCCTGGAGGTGGGGTAGTGTAGGTGTTGCCTGGAGGTGGGGTGTAGTGTTGCCTGGAGGTGGGGGTGTAGTGTTGCCTGGAGGTGGGGGTGTGTAGTGGGGGTGTAGTGTTGCCTGGAGGTGGGGGTGTAGTGTTGCCTGGAGGTGGGGGTGTAGTAGGTGTTGCCTGGAGTTGCCTGGAGGTGGGGGTGTAGTGTTGCCTGGAGGTGGGGGTGTAGTGTTGCCTGGAGGTGGGGGTGTAGTGTTGCCTGGAGGTGGGGGTGTAGTGTTGCCTGGAGGTGGGGGTGTAGTGTTGCCTGGAGGTGGGGGTGTAGTGTTGCCTGGAGGTGGGGGTGTAGTGTTGCCTGGAGGTGGGGGTGTAGTGTTGCCTGGAGGTGGGGGTGTAGGTGTTGCCTGGAGGTGGGGGTGTAGTGTTGCCTGGAGGTGTTGCCTGGAGGTGGGGGTGTAGTGTTGCCTGGAGGTGGGGGTGTAGTGTTGCCTGGAGGTGGGGGTGTAGTGTTGCCTGGAGGTGGGGGTGTAGTGTTGCCTGGAGGTGGGGGTGTAGTGTTGCCTGGAGGTGGGGGTGGGGGTAGTGTTGCCTGGAGGTGGGGGTGTAGTGTTGCCTGGAGGTGGGGGTGTAGCCTGGAGGTGGGGGTGTAGTGTTGCCTGGAGGTGGGGGTGTAGTGTTGCCTGGAGGTGGGGGTGTAGTGTTGCCTGGAGGTGGGGGTGTAGGTGTTGCCTGGAGGTGGGGGTGTAGTGTTGCCTGGAGGTGGGGGTGTAGTGTTGCCTGGAGGTGGGGGTGTAGTGTTGCCTGGAGGTGGGGGTAGTGTTGCCTGGAGGTGTTGCCTGGAGGTGGGGGTGTAGTGTTGCCTGGAGGTGGGGGTGTAGTGTTGCCTGGAGGTGGGGGTGTAGTGTTACCTGGAGGTGGGGGTGTAGTGTTGCCTGGAGGTGGGGGTGTAGTGTTACCTGGAGGTGGGGGTGTAGTGTTGCCTGGAGGTGGGGTTGTAGTGTTGCCTGGAGGTGGGGGTGTAGTGTTGCCTGGAGGTGGGGGTGTAGTGTTGCCTGGAGGTGGGGGTGTAGTGTTGCCTGGAGGTGGGGGTGTAGTGTTGCCTGGAGGTGGGGGTGTAGTGTTGCCTGGAGGTGGGGGTGTAGTGTTGCCTGGAGGTGGGGGTGTAGTGTTGCCTGGAGGTGGGGGTGTAGTGTTGCCTGGAGGTGGGGGTGTAGTGTTGCCTGGAGGTGGGGGTGTAGTGTTGCCTGGAGGTGGGGGTGTAGTGTTGCCTGGAGGTGGGGGTGTAGTGTTGCCTGGAGGTGGGGGTGTAGTGTTGCCTGGAGGTGGGGGTGTAGTGTTGCCTGGAGGTGGGGGTGTAGTGTTGCCTGGAGGTGGGGGTGTAGTGTTGCCTGGAGGTGGGGGTGTAGTGTTGCCTGGAGGTGGGGGTGTAGTGTTGCCTGGAGGTGGGGGTGTAGTGTTGCCTGGAGGTGGGGGTGTAGTGTTGCCTGGAGGTGGGGGTGTAGTGTGTTGCCTGGAGGTGGGGGTGTAGTGTTGCCTGGAGGTGGGGGTGTAGTGTTGCCTGGAGGTGGGGGTGTAGTGTTGCCTGGAGGTGGGGGTGTAGGTGTTGCCTGGAGGTGGGGGTGTAGGTGTTGCCTGGAGGTGGGGGTGTAGTGTTGCCTGGAGGTGGGGGTTGTAGTGTTGCCTGGAGGTGGGGGTGTAGTGTTGCCTGGAGGTGGGGTGTAGGTGTTGCCTGGAGGTGGGGGTGTAGCCTGGAGGTGGGGGTGTAGTGTTGCCTGGAGGTGGGGGTTGTAGTGTTGCCTGGAGGTGGGGGTGTAGTGTTGCCTGGAGGTGGGGGTCAAGATTTGTACTCACCTAATTGTGCTTGCGGGGGTTGAGCTTTGGCTCTTTGGTCCCGCCTCTCAACCGTCAATCGACTGGTGTACAGGTTCCTGAGCCTATTGGGCTCTATCATATCTACATTTGAAACTGTGTATGGAGTCAGCCTCCACCACATCACTGCCTAGTGCATTCCATTTATTAACTACTCTGACAGTGAAATTTTTTTTAACGTCTCTGTGACTCATCTGGGTACTAAGTTTCCACATGTGACCCTTTGATCGTGTCCCACCCGTGCTGAAGAGTTTGTCTTTGTATACCCTGTCAATTCCCCTGAGAATTTTGTAGGTGGTTATCATGTCTCCCCCTACTCTTTTGTTTTCCAGGGATGTGAGGTTTAGCTCCTTTAGCCTTTCTTCGTAGCTCATACCTCTCAGTTCTGGGCCAAATCTGGTGGCATACCTCTGAAACTTCTCTAACTTTTTCGTGTATTTATCTAGTTGTGTTTGCGGGGGTTGAGCTTGTGTTTAACTAGGTATGAACTCTAGGCTGAAGCTGCATATTCCAGGATTGGTCTGACATTAGTGGTATACAAGGTCCTGAACGATCCCTTACACAAGTTTCTAAAGGCAGATCTTATGTTTGCCAATCTAGCATATGCCATTGATGATATCCTTTTGATGTGGACTTCTGGGGACAAGTTCGGTGTGAATTAACCCGCAGATATTTCTCTGTATT